TTGATACGACTTTTAAAACATTTATAGATTAATGAATTACTCTGAAACACTGAAATCCTTACCAGGAAGAGCAGTTCAGTAGTAAATGTTGTCCACGATCACCACACTGAAGTAGGACAAAACTGCTGCTTAGCCAGGTCAGTACTTTACTGCCACCACTTTTGCATCCATTCCAGAAAATATATTAGAATGCAGGAGCATGAGAATGCCCTATGCCATTTATTTATAAAGATAAATAAACAATAATTTATTTAAAAAACAAATTATTCATTAACTTTGGTATTCTTACAGCTAACCAGTAACACGTTATGGGCAGTATCCTTTACAACTAATCATGATATACTGGTGTGTCCCTATCCAAGAACAAAGGTGGGAAACCACAGTCCATAAGCAAACCCAGCCTGCTTCCTGTTTTTATGCAGCCTGCAAGCTAAGAATGGTCTTTGGATTTTTCAATGGCTTTTTGAAAAAAATCAAAAGGAAAATATTTGTGACATTTGAAAAGTATATGAAATTCAAAGTTCAGTGTCAATTAAGGTTTACTGGAACACGGCCATTCTCATTCATTTATGTATTGTCTATAGCAGAGCCAAACAGAGACTGAAAAGCCAAAAACTACTATCTGGCCCTTAACAGAGAAAGTTTGCTGACCCCTGGACTAGAGCTAAGAATGACATACAACTTCAGTGATCACATCTCTTATGCACAAAATCCTGAATACAGACAGTAAACTCAATTCCAGAAATAGTGGTAAATACCATCTAGGATGGAAATCCATTCCTGAGTTGTCCAAACTTTCTGATTTCTTTAATGACAAAAGCCAACTTAATTAAATACAGCTTCTGCATTTTATCTGAAATCATGTTTATAAATTCACCTTTTGACTACAGTGGAGCAATAAAAAAGCACTGGGCTCCAAGTTAGAAGATCTAGGTTCTAGACAATTCACTTTTAAATTGTTAAATTCTTAAAAATGTATTTAAGTCTTTTTTGATCTGTGTATTAAACCTATTAAAAGAACTAAGATAACTGGTAAAATAATCAAAATGCTTTTAAGCAGAGAAGAAAGTTGACATAAAGTAAAACATGCTCCTCTCCCCCAAATATAACTATAAAGAGTCCTCCAATTAATTGTAAATTATTAAACAGGGAAAAAAAGGCACCTAGCTAATTGGAGTGTAGATAGTGGGTTCCATTCAGTAAAAGTTTTAGTGGATGTGCATGAAGGTGTATGAATGTATAGGAAATCATATCACCTCCCTAGGCTTCAGCTGCACCCCTGTAAAATAAGAGCATTGGATTAAATGGTCTCTAGTGTCCTGGCCAGCACTTGTAATTTATGTCAAATGACCAGCCTCAGTTTTTTCATCTGTAAAATTGGATAAATAATAGAATCTACTTTCTATGGTTGCGCTGAGGATTAAATGTGTTAATTCATGTAAAGTGCCTAGAACAGCACTAAATACATTTCACTAGCATTATTATTACTTAGGTACTTGACAAAGGACACTGGTTGGGCATCTCCAACCAGTGGAGATGGGAAATGCAGACATAAAATAGAAGTTGATTCTCTTTTATTAAGTAGGAATGAATGAAACTGGAGTCTATGGAGTTATCACTTCATCATGTTTATCAATAGGTGATTCTCTGAGATAATGGTCAAAGGCATTCCGTATCACTGGTGTGAATTCTTATTTCTGAACAATGATTATTGTTAGTACTGTTAACTAAGGACGTTTCTATTTATGTTTCAAAAAACAAAGTTCAGTGGTTGCTAACTTAATTATTTATGGTTTGAGCACAGGAGAAAGAATATAAAAACTTTGGCCAGTCTTGTAATATACATGAAATGCAAGCCTTCTGAACCAAACAAACTTGCCATAGAAGTATAGTTTCTCATATGTATTCATTCTACAAATGTTTGCTGAGTACATGCTATGGAGAAACATCTGCTACAATGATGAGTAATGTGTCTGCATTAGGGAGATAACAAGGAGGACAAGCCAGCAAGTCTAGAAAAGCATGATATGTTGATGAGGAAGCCCAATGCACCATGGGAGCATTTAACAGGGACCTAGACCTATGTATGTAGTCCAGGGATTTAGAGGAAAGAATATTTAAGCTGTGACCTGACAGGTCAGTAGGAGTTCATCAAGCACAAGAGGTGGAGAATGTTTGAACACGGGGAACTAAATGAGAAGTGAGATAGAGCAGGTCTGAAGAACTTAGAGCCTTTCAGTCTTGCTGAGACATATCAAGGGAGGAAGAGTGGCAAAAGATGATATTGCAGGTCACAGAACTGTCTTGCATTTTACCTTCATGGCACTGAGAAGTCATTGAAAGTTCTAAGCATAAAAATGCAAAAACTGGTAATCAAATTAGAAACCATTCGTGAAATAATTAGCTTGATGAGAAATGTAAGCGGAAGGAAGCTGCATTCACTTCTTCCTTCCCTCCTTGCTACTAAGCTGGAGTCCCTCTTTTGTTTTAACTTACTGTATTTATAGCTCAAATACTATACACATAAGAGTGAAATATAAAAATATTTGCTTCTTATTTACAATGTGGACGCCTGCATATCAGTATCTTCACTACTAAACAGCCACTAGAACTGAGAAGACACTACACAGGCCAAAATTAGCCATGACCAGAGTGGAATCAAGGACTTGAACCAGGGTACTTGAGTTTAAATCCTACCCACTTCCATTACACACTTGATGTCAGTTCTCCCCTAAATGTCAATTTCTTCCCATCTGTAATGAATAGTATTTCTCCTGCATCCCTCGGAAGTGTCTGGTAACTGTGTTTATTGATGTTTTCCTTATTTTGGTTCAGATCCAGAAGAATTTGAAAGCTCTCCCCACAAGCGGACTTTCACCTGTGACATGAATCTTGAGGGCGGTATTAGAAATCACAGTCACCAGTGTTGTTCAGTCACAAGCCTATGAAGTTGAAATCAGCTTTAAAACAACAAGGGCAAGCCAGAGAACTCCAGAATGCCACAGAGGAAATGTCTCAGCAGCACTAACTATACCTGCAGACTTCTCTCCTCAAAATGGGCTGTTAGCACAGACATTTGGAAGCTTTAGAAAAAAGCATTATGTCAAGGCATTATTATGAATTATGCTGATTGCCTGTCCAGTTTATAAGTCTGAACATTTTATTTTATTTATCTTTTTGAGACAGGGTCTCCTTCTGTCACCCAGGCTGGAGTGCAAATGGCACAATCTCAGCTCACTACAACTGCCACCTCCCGGGTTCAAGCAATTCTCGTGCCTCAGCCTCCCAAGTAGCTGGGATTACAGGCATGTGCCACCATGCCTGGCTAAGTTTTGTATTTTTAGTAGAGACAAGGTTTTGCCATGTTGGCCAGGCTGGTTTTGAACTCCTGGCCTCAAGTGATCCACCTGGTTGGTCTCTCAAATTGCTGGGATTACTTGTGGCGTGAGCCACCATGCTCAGCCACAAGTCTGAACATTTTAAATGGATATTCTAGGTGAATTCACTTTATGGGTCATTTTCCCATTTTCAAATTAAAAAAAAAAAAAGCCACCTCATAAAAAAAATTATATTCCAAATCTCTACAGTCTCAAAAACTGTTGATTATTAAAATGCCCTAAATTTTTAATAAGATGTTTTGTCTAACACATTTTTCGGCAAGGTGATCACCTGAGGTCCGGAGTTCGAGACCAGCCTGACTAACATGGTAAAACTCCGTCTCTACTAAAAATACAAAAAAATTAGCCAGGCATAGTGGCACATCCCTGTAATCCCAACTACTCAGGAGACTGAGGCAGGAGAATCGCTTGAACCTGGGAGGCGGAGGTTGCAATGAGCTGAGATCATGTCATTGTACTCCAGCCTGGCAAAAAGAGCGAAAATTCATCTCAAAAAAAAAAAAAAATACACTTTTAATCATAATGTATGCTGGCTCTGACAAGATAATTCACTGTAACAATAGATTAATACCTCAGTTTTATAAAATTCAGTGCTTGAAGAGTTCAAATTCTAACTGCTAAGAATTCCCATTTTTAAAAATATCATTAACACAAATGTACATATTCAGGACTGCACACAGTTCAGTCTCTAACCTTTCCAAATAGCAGTACAAATGTTTTCTCAAAGTTACTCTCTAACTGAGAAGAAATTTCAAATAAATATTATTTATTTGTTTGTTTTTGGAGACAGAGTCTGGCTCTGTCACCCAGCGCTGGATTGCAGTGGCACAATATCGGCTCATTGCAACCTCTGCCTCCCAGGTTCCAGAGATTCTCCTGCCTCAGTCTCCTGAGTAGCTGGGATTACAGGCATGCACCACCACGTCTGAATAATTTTTGTACTTTTTAGTAGAGATGGGGTTTCACCATACCGGTCAGGCTGGTCTCAAACTCCTGACCTCAGGCGATCCGCCCGTCTCAACCTCCCAAAGTGCTGGGATTACAGGTGTGAGCCACCGTGCTTGGCCGAAATTTCAAATAAATATGAACTATTTTCATATCATTGTAGTTTCATCAAATCTCCCCATTGGCTGTGTAAATATCCAAAAGCACTTCTGCTTTACGGAAATTTGAAAGTTCTTCTGCCCAAAAGGCTGACTGTGAACTTATGACATTCAGTAAAATTCTCCCTAGTGATACTCAAATAACTCTCTTGTGCTATACCACTCACAGTAAAGAAAGACAGTTTTGAGACATGATGTCTATACATAGTTCTTTCTCTGCCTTTCTATTTGTTATTTCCAGCCAAAGCTACATGGTATGTGGATCATAAAAAGGCAGCCTTTCTGGGTCTCAAATCCCATTCAGGAAGATGGCAATCATAATTTTCATCAATCCAACTCAGAGATGTTGTGAAGTTAAATAAGAAAACATATTTGAAAATACATAGAAAAGATGTAAGTACATTCCAAAAGTATAGGATCATTGTTAAACAATCCTCTTTGACTAGAAAAGAAGCTTGTTCTTTCTTTCAAAAAGCTGAAATCATATGACGTTTTTTTTCTGTCAAATAATCGAAGCTAAAATAATACTGGATATTCTTTAAAAATATATTTATACTAAAGACTTCCCAATCCATATAATCTGTTGGCCCTGTAGCTGTGGTTAGGGGGTTCCCATCAATAGGTAGAATGTCAGAGCAACTATCAGAAGCAAACAAAATGGAGATGAGAAGGTTTGATAGGCAGCTGATGGCATAAAAATGTCTTCATACTTGTAAATACTGACAACACGCTCTGAAGCTGGCGGTGAGTCTATATCATGTCGAGTGATAGAGCCTTTAAGAAAAAAAGAGAAGGGCAGGGAGCAGTTGAAAAAAGTACAGATTTATAATGGTATAGGCAAACAATAGAAAAATCAAAAGTCTATTTAGTGTTGAACGCATACGCAATGGTTACAGATCTGGATTCAGGTATTCGAGTTATCAGAATTCTCTATCATTGTCCATCTAATGAACGCAGAAATTACTCAAATTTATCCAAAAAGACTAGTTCTCATTAATTTGCACTCCCCTATCAGAACAATGCTGTTGGTCTGGTTCCTGGCATCTCAATGTTAAGACTGCTAGTTATATAACATTGTATGATTATTGTTTGATTGCCTCCTTTAAACAGCTATAAGGAGTTCTGTCTTATTAATACCCAAATGAGCAAACTATATTTTTATTTCAAACAGCAGAGACTACTAACTTTTTTCCCTCAGATCTATCTTGCCTATATGGATCATCAACAACTCCTGACAACACTATTAAAGTCTCCCTTACAGATGGAAGCCCTCTTCTACTGTCTGTGGGACATTCAGTACCCTCCCCCAGGCCATGCCAGGGGGAGTGTGGTATGCCGGATGTGTGTCTGTGTGTCTGGCTGATTAGGGTTGAATGGTACAGAAAGCAGGATGATTAAGGTGCCAGACAAGTCTTTGGCTGGGAAACTTTTTAAAAACTTGGTTACAAGTGGAAAGAAGTATAGACTGTGTGTAAAATATATTTAATAAGCTTCAGTTGATTAAAAGTGTCTGACCTTCTGAATAAACCACATGAAACTCGGGTTAGGGAGACTAAGGCATAAGCATTCAGTGCAAAAGTCTCCTTAGGAATAGGGCTCAGAGTGAGGGTTTTCAAGGTCCTATCTGCTAGGGAAGCCCTGCCAAACTTAACACGTCAGGTCTCTGCTTAGTGTCCATGCTGGCCCAGTTAGCAAAAATCAAATTCTCCAGTTTGTATGACTATGGTCTCACCTACTTGGGAGGCTGAGTTGGGAGGATCACTTAAACCTGGGAGGTGGAGGCTGCAGTGAGCTGTGATTGTTTCTCTGCACTCCAGACTGGGTAACAGAGAAGACTTTTATCTCAACAGATCCCACTCACCTCTCCTACCTAACCTCAGCTCACTGGTCACCTGCACTGGCTGCTTGACTTAACTATGTGCCTACAGTTCATGACTTCCTTTAGTGAAATCTGACCCCATACCCCTTTCAAGCCTTAGTTCAAAGTTTTTCCCCTGACAGAGACCTTGGGAGAATGCATAGGATATAATTAATAAAGAGGCATTAGAAGGGCACGCAGGAAACGAGAAAAGCACAAGACTACATATAGGGTAGCAACGTGCCTGTTTTGCTTAGAGGTAGTGAAAAGAACAGAAGTCTGGAGAGAGCTTATCAGGTAAGGCAGGACCAGATTTGGAGAAGGCTTTGAACTTAGGCTAGTCTGCCATATATGTAAAAAGATGACCTTCTGAAAATACAGCCCTTTCCAATTGGTAAAGCAATTTCAAATACTTGTTTTCACTTAATCCTTATAATAACTCCATGGAATAGGAAGTATTATTGTCCCCACTTTAGATATAAGGAAATGAAATTCAGAATTTAAATAACAGGCTAAATATCATATAGCTACCAAGGGGCAGAACCAATACTCAAACTCAAAGTTTTAGACTTCAAATCTATTTTAGATGACTCCATTTCTCCATGCTGAGATATAATTTATTTCCCAGGGTACTGAAAGTAGTTGAAGTTATAACTGCAGAGCCACTGTTGGTATCTGGGAAATTAAAAAATGGAAAAGGTGTCACCAGTCTAGAGGCATCCAAGTGTCTTCCCAATAGGCAATAGGCAAAATAAAAGGCAGATTATGTCATCTCTAGTATGATTGGTGGAAACAAACTGAAGGAAGAAAACACAACCAGGGCCTGGCACGGTGGCTCACGCCTGTAATTCCAACACTTTGGGAGGCCGAAGCAGGTGGATCACCTGAGGTCAGGAATTTGAGACCAGCCTGCCCAACATGGTGAAACCCCTTCTCTACTAAAAATACGAAAATTAGCCAGGCATGGTAGCAGGCGCCTGTAATCTCCCAGCTACTCAGGAGGCTGAGACAGGAGAATCATTTGAACCCAGGAAGTGGAGGTTACAGTGAGTTGAGATTGTGCCACTGCACTCCAGCCTGGATGACAGAGCAAGACTTCATCTCAAAAAACAAAAAACACAACCAGGTCAGATTAGGCAACAAATAGTTGATGAGCACACAGTAAAGAAAGATGCAATTACCAGGAACCAGAATGAGTTCTCAGTGCAAGGACTGCAAGCCAAACTCACTTCCATTCTTGATCAGACCTTTAGGCTAATCAACCAGAAGACATGCTCAAGACTAATGTAACTTGATTTTGGCAATCTCTTAAAGGTCTCATGATATCCTTGGGTCTTTGTTGGGGAAATGCTGCTGGGTCTTGCCACCCAAAATGAGGTAATCAATGAACCAGCATGACCAGGTTGCTTATTAGAAATGCAGAATCTTGCCAGGCATGGTGGCTCACACTTGTAATCCCAGCACTTAGGGAGGCCAAAGCTGGTGGATCACTTGAGCTCAGGAGTTCAAGACTAGCCTGGGTAATATGGGGAAACCTCATCTATACTAAAAATACAAAAAAAATTAGCCAGGCATGGTGGCACACGCCTATAGTCCCAGCTACTTGGGGGTCTGAGGTAGGAGAATCACTTAAACCTGGGAAGTGGAGGCTGCAGTGAGCTCTGATTGTTTCACTGCACCCCAGCCTGGGTGACAGAGTAGGACCCTGTCAGGGAAGGGGAGGGCAGGGGAGGGCAGGGGAGCAGAATCTCAGGCCCCTACCCCAGAGCTACAGAAAATTCCACTTTAACAATATAGCCAGGTAATTCCTATGCACATAAATATTTAAGGAGTAATGGGTTAAACTATAGGATAATTTGGCAGATTTTTGTGACTAACAGAATAGTCACGAAGTGGGCATTAATGAAATGTTTGGTGTCAATTTCTGGAGAAGTCTCCAGAAGCCCTTCCTGTTCAGTATTTTTTATTCTTTCTTTCTTTTTGAATGGAGACAGGGTCTCACTACAGTGCCCAGGCTGGTCTTAAACTCCTGGGCTCTAACCATCCTCCCAAAGTGCTGGGATTACAGGCATGAACCACCATGTCCAGCCCCTGTTCAGTCTTTTTATATTCACAGCATAGGAGTTAAGAGGATTCACTGGCTTTGGGGTCAGACAGACTTAGGATTGAATTTTAATTCTTCTACTAATTAGTTGTATAGCTTTGAGCAAGTTTCTTAATCTCTCTAAAACCAGGACAATAATACCTATACCTCTCAAGAACATGGTGAGGAGTCAATGAGAATGCTATGATAATTGAATAGAGCCCTACATATAGCAGATAGATCTGTTTCATTAAGCACATTACTCATGACATACTATCTTGTACTGCTCTAGCTTAGCATGTGTATAACTGTTCGTTCGTTTGTCCATATGTATAATAAGTCCATTATAACCTTCTGAAGGTAGGAGTCACATCTTCTTTTCCTTTAAATTATCCAGAGTGCTTATTGCTCTCTTGTGCACACAGTGTGACTTCAATTAATAATGAACACAAGCACAGTGGTGTCTGGTGTTTAATCCAGATGCTAAAATGTAAGCTTACCCTGAATGGCTGGACCCCAAGCAAACAGATAATACCAACTCAAATGCAGATCAACAATTGTTTCATCTCTGGGAACATTCACAGGGCGTTTAAATCTGCAGGTGACGCGATTATTCTCAAAAACTCCTTCTTCATCTCTGGCAGGGTTTCTCTGAATCTCCTTCGCCCACTGGCCTACATTATAGAAGTGCTGTATGCGGACCCTGCCATTGTCATCATGGACGCAGGCCATGACATCATCACCACCCTAACATGAGAAATGATTAAGGAAAAAAAAAGTCAAAGGTTCATCTTTTGCACACTGGTCACTAGAAATATACATTCCATCACCTCTGCAATTTGAAATCCCACCAAAAAAAAAATTCTTTTAAATGCAATTAAAAAGTCTCAACCAAGAGACTGAAGTTACCATCACAATAACTGACATTCAATGCCTCCTGAGTGATGCTTAGAGAAGACATCACCACCTATGTAGTATTCCTGCCCAAAACACAAACTAACCTAGTCACGAGAAAATAATCAAACTCAAACTGAAGGTCATTCCACACAGAAAAAAAAACTAGGCCAGGTGTGGTGGCTCACATCTGTAATCCCAGCACTTTGGGAGGCTGAGGTGGGCGGATCACGAGGTCAGGAGATGAAGACCATCTTGGCCGAAATGGTGAAACCCCATGTCCACTAAAAATACAAAAATTAGCCGAGCATGGTGGCGGGTGCCTGTAGTCCCAGCTACTCGGGAGGCTGAGGCAGAAGAATGGCTTGAACCTGTGAGGCGGAGGTTGCAATGAGCTGAGATCGCGCCACTGCACTCCAGCCTGGCGACAGAGACTCCATCTCAAAATAACAAAAAAAACCCTAGCTTATAATCTTCAAGGAGTCAATGTCATGAAAGACCAAAAAATGAAAAGAAAAAGCTAAGGAACTACTTTAAAATAAACATGAGAATAAAATGCAGTTCTAAATGTTCTGACATAGAAATTTGGGCCATAAACCCAAAATTTCCCTAAAGAACAGTATTGAGACAAGTAGCAACACATGAAAACAAACAATATATTTAATAATACTATCATAGCTATGCTAAACTTCCTGAATTTAATAAACTATATAATCAAAGAGAACATTCTTGATTTTAGGAGATACCTACTTAAGTATTTAGGATTAAAGGATTATGACATTTGTGATTTAAATGCCAAAGTTCCAGAAAATAATAATCAAAAAATAATAATAATCAGTTGTAGTAGCAGTAGCAGCAGTAGGAGGAGAATAAAGCATGTGTGGCTGATGTCATTATTTATAAAAATGTTCTGGAACTAGGGAGTCATGAAGGTGGCACAACACTGAATGAATTGACGCTTTAAAATAGTAAATTTTGGTGTCACTGCACTCCAGCCTGGATGACAAAGTGAAACCTTGTCTCAAAAAACAAAAACAAAATAAAATGGTCACTTCTGGCCAGGTGTGGTGACTGACACCTGTAATCCCAACATTTTGGGAAGTCAAGACAGGAGGATGATTTGAGCCCAGGAGTTTGGGACCACTCTGGGCAATACAGTGAGACCTTGTCTCTACAAAAAACTTTAGAAAATTAGCTGGGCATGGGGGCTCATGCCTGTAGTCCGAGCTACATGGGAGGCTGAGGTGGGAGGATCGTTTGAGCTGGGGAGGTTGAGGCTGCAGTGAGTCTTGTTTGTGCCACTGCACTAGAGCTTGGGCAAGAGAGTCTCAAAAAAAAAAAAAAAAAAACCCAACAACAAACATACACAACGATGTCTCAAAAAAAAAAAAAAATACATACACAACAACAAAAAAATAAAATGGTTAACTGTTATGTGCATTTTACCACAATAAAAAAGTTATCATTTTGTTAATCTAGATTTTCTATATATGAGTTTACTGTACTATCCTTCCTGCTTGTCTGTAGGTTTATACTTTTTTCAAAACAAGGTCAAAAAGTTAAAAGTGTTTGGTCGGGCGTAGTGGCTCATGCCTATAACCCCCGCACTGTAGAAAGCTGGCAGATCACCTGAGGTCAGGAGTTCAAGACTAGCCTGGCCAACATGGTGAAACCCCATCTCTACTAAAAGTACAAAAATTAGCCAGGTGTGGTGGCACGTGCCTATAATCCCTGCTACTCAGGCGGCTGAGGCAGGAGAATCCCTTGAACCCAGGAGGCAGAGTCTGCAGTGAGCCGAGATAGTGCCACTGAACTCCAGCCTGGGCAATAGAGTGAGTGAGACTCCATCTCAAAAAAAACAAAATGTTACCCCAAAAAAAGCGTTCATCAGTTGTAACACACATACCACCCTGTACAGGATGCTGATAATGGGGGAGGCTCCCAGGGGTATATGGGCACTCTATAACTTCTGTTCCATTTCACCGTGAATCTAAAACTGCTGCAAAAAGTAAAGTCTAATTAAAACACACACACACACGCACCCACATACACACACCCACACACCCACATACACACACACACACACACACACACACGTACACACATGTACCCTTTTTTTTTTTTTTTCAGACGGAGTCTCACTCTGTCACCCAGGCTGGGGTGCAGTGGTGCGATCTTGGCTCACTGCAACCTCCGCCTCCTGGGTTGAAGCAATTCTTCGCCTCAGCCTCCTGAGTAGTTGGGACTACAGGCGCCTGCCACCATGCCTGGCTAATTTTTGTATTTTTAGTGGAGACGGGGCTTCACCACGTTGGCCAAGCTGGTCTCAAACTCCTGACCTCAGGTAATCTGCCTTCCTCGGCCTCCCAAACTGCTGGGATGACAGGTGTGAGCCACCACACCCGGCCAATAATGTACCATTTTAAAAAAGTTAAAGGCTATTAAAAAGGGATTCCATTTTGTTTTTCCTATGCAACAGGTTTTCAAAAAAAATTCATCTGTGCTTTTTCTTGGAATAATACAAGAAAAAAAGAGACTTCTACTTTCACAGATAATATGACAATAGATACTTTATAGGCCTTTAGATAGCAGAATATCAAACATAAAATTTGAATGCTCCTCACTCTGCCTCAGTCCTCTAATCTGAACAGCCCCACCCTGAGTGCAAATTCATTTAGGACCGGAAGTGGTCACTTTCCATGCAAGGCAGTTTCTGGACATGGCATGCCCTGCTGTTTCTCCTACTGCCTCTACAGCAGGAGATAAGTAGACCCGTATCTATCCATGCACTCTTATCAGTTGTACCCATTAGACTGGGACACATTGAAGGCTATTCTCCTGGTGACCTCTCCAAGAATAAAGCCACCAGAGCCGCCAAGCTTAGACTGCTTCCCCGTGTTTTCCTATGGCTCACCTACAACCCATATCTAATCCACTAGCAAATCCTATGAGTGCTCCTTCCTTCCGTCCTTTCTTCTGCCTTCCTTCCTTCCTTCCTCCCTTCCTTCCTTCCTCCCTGGCTTCCTTCCTCCCTCCCTGCCTTCCTTCCTCCCTCCCTCCCTTCCTTTCTTCCTTTCTCTCTTTCTTTCTCTCTCTCTCTCTTTCTTTCTTCTTTCCTTTTTTGAGATGGAGTCTTGCTCTGTTGCCTAGGGTGGAGTGCAATGGCATGATGTCAGCTCACTGCAACCTCCACCTCCTGAGTTCAAGCAATTCTCTGCCTCAGCCTCCTGAGTAGCTGGGATCACAGGTGCCTGCCACCATGCCCGGCTAAGTTTCGTATTTTTAGTAGAGACAGGGTTTCACCATGTTGGCCAGACTGGTCTTGAACTCCCGACCTCAAGCGATTCATCTGCCTCGGCCTCCCAAAGTGCTGGGATTACAGGTGTGAGCCACCGCACCCAGCCAGTTAGTGCTACTTTCAAACTATTCAAAATCTGAGTCCTTCTCAACATTGTCACTGTTGGAACTTTGGTTTGAGCCACCCTCCTCTCTGACCAGTAGCCCTGCACAAGCCTCAAAATAGGCCAAGTGAAGAGACAGGGTGGGATGCTCTAGGCAGAAACAACAAGTGCAAAGACACAGAGGCCTGAGAAAGTCTGGCAGTTTGGGACCAAGTCCGGCCCAGCGAAGTGGCAAGGAAGGAGGCTCCAGAGGAAAGACAGAAAAATGCAGCAAGGCACAGGGAAGAGCAGGCGCCAGAGATGACACTGCCTGTGAGCCTGAGTCCCTGCCTGTCCCTGGCCACAGTCCCGTCTGAGGTCCAGAGGTTTTCTTGCTGCTGGGTACAGAGGAAGATAAAACTGTTGAACCAAATTCTTCACTTCCCTGATGTAATCCACCATACCTATTATAATGAAGCCTCCATAAAAATTCAAAAGGAGGCCAGGCACGGAAGTGCCTATAATCCCAGCACTTTGGGAGGCTGAGGCGGGCAGATTACTTGAGGCCAGGAGTTCGAGACCAGCCTGGCCAACATTGTGAAACCCCATCTCTGCTAAAATTACAAAAATTAGCTGGGTGGGGTGGAACACGCCTGTAATCCAAGCTATGTCGGGAGGCTGAGGCAGGAGAATTGCTTAAACCCAGGAAGTGGAGGCAGCAGTAAGCTGTGATCGCGCCACTGCACTCCAGCCTGGGCAACAGAGTAAGACACCGTCTAAAAATAACAAAAAACAAAAACAATTCCAAAAGGACAGGGTTTGAACAGGTGAAGGTGCCTGAAGGGTAGTGAACCCAGAAGGGGCATTGAAGCTCCTCACTCCTTCCCACATGTCTTTCCCTAAGTGTTTCTTCCATCTAATTGTTCTTCTTTATCCTTTGTAATAGCCTTTATAATAAAAGAGTAAAGTAGGCCAGGCACGGTGGCTCATGCCTGTAATCCCAGTACTTTGGGAGGCTGAAGTGGATGGATTACCTGAGGTCAGGAGTTTGAGACCAGCCTGGCCAACATGGTGAAACCCCATCTTTACTAAAAATACAAAAATTAGCTGGGTGTGGTGAAAGGTACCTGTAATCCCAGCTACTCCGGAGGCTGAGGCAGGAAAATCGCTTGAACTGGGGAGGCTGAGGTTGCAGTGAGCCAAGATTGCACCACTGCACTCCAGCCTGGGTGACAAGAGTGAAACTCTGACTCCATAAATAAATAAATAAATAAATGAGTAAAGTGTTTGAATTCTGTGAGCCGCTCCAGGAAATTAACTGAACATGAGGAGGTGGTGGCACCCCAGACTTATAGCTGATTGGTCAGAAATACAGGTCACAACCTGAGGCTTGTGACTGAGGCAGTCTTGTGGTTTTGAACCCTTAACCTGTTGGATCTAATGCTGTCTCCAAGTAGGTAGTGTCAAAAATAAATTGAATTAGGGGACACCCAGCTGTCCAATGGAGAGCTGCTTGGGGTGTGGGGGAACATCCCCATATATCTGGTCACAGAAGCGTTCTTTCTGTACTGAGAATATGAATAGAGAGGGAAAAAAGTTTGTTTTTCCCTTTTTTTTTTTTTTTTTTTTAGATGGTGTCTCCCCCTTTCCCCGGGCTGGTGGTGTGTGGCACAATCTCAGCTCACTGCAAGATGAGGATCAAGCGATTCTCCT